GCTTCCTTTAGTGGTCTTTCTAGTTAATTATAAAAGCACCTCAAATATAAGAGGGGGTGGTGGTGGGATGGCAGGAATGGCGGCTGGTCCTGAGCTCTAATGCTCCCTCCTATCCCCAGCCTAACAGATCATGAGCTTCCCTGTGCCTTGGTTTCCTTCCCAGTAACTCTAATAGTTGAATCAGAAGGTTCCAGACATTTCTTTTGCTGTTTTGTCGAAGAGTTTAATCTCAAATACAGAGTAGAGCCAATACAAATAAAACATGATTTTTCTATGCATTTAAAAAATAACATGCTACATACCAAAAAAAAAATCATCTATTTCTTCTCCCTGCTTCTCCATGAACCCCAGTATATATATATATATATATATATATATATGTCTTCTAAAGAATACTAATAACAAATGAATGGATCACTTAAAAAAAATTGGATGGCCTCTTGGTGTGAGATCCAGTGAATATTCTGAAGAACTTACTTGACCTGTTCTTGAGGGGGTAGAAGGAGAGATAACCATAATTAGTAGTATGTGCATGAACATGTGAACTGGAAGTCCATTGAGATGGGGGCATTTATATACTCTTGGGGATTTGTTATTATATTTGCACATACCATTAGAAATACATGGAAAGAGACTAAACATTTGGAAAGCTTAATTTTTCTTTCTGGTGGCCAGCAGTTGAAAACTGTCTGAAATACAGCAGAAAACCATGGTGAAAAGTTGATGGAAGAGACCTTAATGTGGCCACTTGCTCAGCCCCCAACATATTGAAGTTTGCCGCTCTTAATTTTGTCCAGGGCCAGTCTGTGAATAATTGTATTTAAGGAATTGGGCAGAGTCATCACAGAGTTACAAAACAGCACCCTTGGGGCTTCACTGGAGACTGATGGGAACTCTGGAGAGTTGATAATGGTAATCAAAGGGTCTATATATTTAAAATGCACAAAGGATGAGCCCAGAAATTATCTGCCTGTCAACTTAACTTCTCTACCTGGAACAAATTATCCAAAAATCAATTTGCAAACACCTCTGAGATAACAAGGTCTTGAGTAATAACCTCCATGGCTTTGTAAAGAAAAGCATCTAGCTTGACTAATCTGCTTAATTCCCTTCTTTGACCAAATGGCAGACTATAATAGAGGCAATCTGAAGTTGTCCCTTAAGATTTGCTTTGAGTCACACTGAGAAAATATTGTCCACCCCTGTTTTATAGCAATTATTCTGTTTCTGGAGAATCTTTGTTGATGGGTAATTAATTAGAAGAAAAACACTGAATGAGTCTCTATCCCAAAGCTCTCACCTGAGTTCCAAACAAGAACCCATACCTGCCTTTATTCATAATAATGGCCCAGACATTCTCCAAATGTAACATGCTCCCAAACAAATCTATATTGTACTCTATTCCCAAACTCCTCTCTCCCCTTCATTTTCTGTTCTGCTCTAAGAATCATTAGCTTGTTATGCCCTTTGATGAATAATCTTATTTCTGGCAGCTGGTCCTAAGAAAATGTGAGAAAAGAAGGACTGAAGTCATTTTCACAAAAATGTTTATTACAGCATTAATTACTATAGTAAAATTGAAAAAAACCTATGTGTCCAACAATGGGAGAATGGTTAGTATGATAACCTGATGGACTACTCTGCATATATTAAAGGCAGTGATGTCAAAGCCTGTGTAGCATCTACATGAAGCCACTGAAGTATAAAATAACAAGGGGGCGCAAATCTACATTGGGTCTATGTGCTCTTGTAATTGCATGAAAATTAGGATAAGGTGGATAAAAAATTAGAATAAAATATAGAGAAATAAAAATGGCTGTTAGGTTGGATAGCAAAAAAGGGGACATATTTTCCTTCTCTGGTGTGGTGTGTAAAAAAAAAAATAATATATACTCTCTCTCTCTCTCTCTCTCTCTCTCTCTCTCTATATATATATATATATATATATATATATGTCTTCTAAAGAGAACTAATAACAAATGAATGGATCACTTAAAAAAAATTGGATGGCCTCTTGGTGTGAGATCCAGTGAATATTCTGAAGAACTTACTTGACCTGTTCTTGAGGGGGTAGAAGGAGAGATAACCATAATTAGTAGTATGTGCATGAACATGTGAACTGGAAGTCCATTGAGATGGGGGCATTTATATACTCTTGGGGATTTGTTATTATATTTGCACATACCATTAGAAATACATGGAAAGAGACTAAACATTTGGAAAGCTTAATTTTTCTTTCTGGTGGCCAGCAGTTGAAAACTGTCTGAAATACAGCAGAAAACCATGGTGAAAAGTTGATGGAAGAGACCTTAATGTGGCCACTTGCTCAGCCCCCAACATATTGAAGTTTGCCGCTCTTAATTTTGTCCAGGGCCAGTCTGTGAATAATTGTATTTAAGGAATTGGGCAGAGTCATCACAGAGTTACAAAACAGCACCCTTGGGGCTTCACTGGAGACTGATGGGAACTCTGGAGAGTTGATAATGGTAATCAAAGGGTCTATATATTTAAAATGCACAAAGGATGAGCCCAGAAATTATCTGCCTGTCAACTTAACTTCTCTACCTGGAACAAATTATCCAAAAATCAATTTGCAAACACCTCTGAGATAACAAGGTCTTGAGTAATAACCTCCATGGCTTTGTAAAGAAAAGCATCTAGCTTGACTAATCTGCTTAATTCCCTTCTTTGACCAAATGGCAGACTATAATAGAGGCAATCTGAAGTTGTCCCTTAAGATTTGCTTTGAGTCACACTGAGAAAATATTGTCCACCCCTGTTTTATAGCAATTATTCTGTTTCTGGAGAATCTTTGTTGATGGGTAATTAATTAGAAGAAAAACACTGAATGAGTCTCTATCCCAAAGCTCTCACCTGAGTTCCAAACAAGAACCCATACCTGCCTTTATTCATAATAATGGCCCAGACATTCTCCAAATGTAACATGCTCCCAAACAAATCTATATTGTACTCTATTCCCAAACTCCTCTCTCCCCTTCATTTTCTGTTCTGCTCTAAGAATCATTAGCTTGTTATGCCCTTTGATGAATAATCTTATTTCTGGCAGCTGGTCCTAAGAAAATGTGAGAAAAGAAGGACTGAAGTCATTTTCACAAAAATGTTTATTACAGCATTAATTACTATAGTAAAATTGAAAAAAACCTATGTGTCCAACAATGGGAGAATGGTTAGTATGATAACCTGATGGACTACTCTGCATATATTAAAGGCAGTGATGTCAAAGCCTGTGTAGCATCTACATGAAGCCACTGAAGTATAAAATAACAAGGGGGCGCAAATCTACATTGGGTCTATGTGCTCTTGTAATTGCATGAAAATTAGGATAAGGTGGATAAAAAATTAGAATAAAATATAGAGAAATAAAAATGGCTGTTAGGTTGGATAGCAAAAAAGGGGACATATTTTCCTTCTCATATTCTTATTCCACTGCTGTTTTTGCTACAAATAAAATTAGCACACACATGTACAGTTTAATTTATACAAGAATGGGTATTAACAGGCAATCTTCCAAGGGAAGAACTGGTCGGGGAAGACATACAGATATAGGCTTCTTCCTAATTCTTCTACTCCATGACCTTGAGTTGGTGATCACATCAACTGGGTTCTTACATTTTTTATTCATCAGAATGGAGGTGATAATGTTGTTCCAAGAATTACATGAAACAATGCATGTGCAATTTAATGATATGTAAGAAGTACAAAATAAGTGTTAATTTTGCAGCTTCGCAGCTCCGCTAAGGACGGCCAGAATGAGGCTGCCTTAAATGCCTGTTGGAATTCTAGTCTTACTTAGCTGACTGCATAGAATTTAATGGAAGAGAGGCCAGCATAGAGCAGATACAAGATATCTCAGCATGATTTTTTTCTTGACCCTCAATTCCCACCGGGTTCATTGTGACCAGTGACCTTCTCTCTGCTGAAAGGAACCTGCCAGAGTTGAAGAAGCAGCTGAATTCTTGCTATGTTGTCATTTTTCTATTTAGGCTCATATCATTATTTAGGGAGAACTTCTGTCAGTAATCTGTGTGTTACCACATAAGAAATGTTTATAAACCGTGGACTTCCCTGGGGTTTGAACCAAACTCCACCTCAGCAAAGGCAGGCAGGCTTTCCACTGAGGAAATGAAAGCAATGTAAGTACCCAGACAGCTTTGCTGTGTTGTAGAAAGCCCATTTCCTGACATTGCCTTCTTTCTTTTCTTTCTTTAAATGAAGGGATATTGTAGGAGTGAGTAAAGTTCCCCAAGAAATACTGAATTAGGTATTTACGTAAAACAACTTGTAGATTAAAGTAGGATATGAATGAAGTTAGGAAGCAGCAGATGACAGAATGGTTACGTCACTGGACTCCACATAGTTGACTGCAGTTCAAGTCCTGGACCAGGCAGCTTAAAACTCATGCCAGACATGTGTGTATACATGCCCAAAATCCCAAGAGGAGAACGGATTGTGGTGTGGCCATCCCTCCGGGGGATGATTTCTCACTTTCTGTCTCACTGTCTCTCTCTGTCTCTCCAGTGAGTATATGTGCCCTTTAGCAAAAAAACTCTGTTTCCAAAAAACCAGGATATGGGACCAGCAGTTAGCGTAATGGCTGTGTCGCTGGACTCCCACGTAGTCGACCACGGTTCAAGTCCCGGACCTGGTGGCTTAAACTCACGCCGGGTGCGTGTGCGTGTGTGCCCAAGATCCCGAGAGGAGAACGGAGGAGAAGGGATTGTAGCGTGGCCATCCCCCCTGGGAGGTGATTTCTCGCTTTCTGGCTCTATGTCTCTGTCTGTCTGGTGAGTGCACGTGCCTTACAGCAAAAAACCTCAAAAAAAAAAAAAAACAAAACAGAATATGAATAAGGTTAAAAAGGGGATTTGGGCTACTTTCTATGTCTGTATCTGAATTCTGTCCCTGTCTTCACAAGCTTGGGTTCTGCTCTGCGAAGCACTTGAGTCTGACGGTCCTTTTACTCATTGCTTGTCTTTCAGAGCCTCCCACTCCCATTGCCCCCCCAGAGCTGCTGGCTGTGGGGGCCACCTACCTGTGGATCAAGCCAAATGCCAACTCCATCATTGGGGATGGGCCCATCATCCTGAAGGAGGTAGAATATCGTACCACCACAGGCACCTGGGCTGAGACTCACATTGTCGACTCTCCCAACTACAAGCTGTGGCATCTGGATCCTGATGTTGAGTATGAGATCCGGGTTCTTCTTACACGACCAGGAGAGGGGGGCACGGGACCACCAGGGCCTCCACTTACCACTAGGACCAAGTGTGCAGGTAAGAGCCTCCTTCCAAGTCTGTATTTTGAGAAACTGGGCAGTTGCTATGAATAATCTTCCTCTTGCCTTTCTGTGATAAATAATTTCCAATTTTATGTGAGTGTGCTTCCTGTTGTAGAGGAAAATAGTCATGGTTTTGCCTTAGAGGACCTCTTGGCTCTGACAGTGATTCAGAGACCCTCCTGACTCTGGCTGTGTCTTGGAGAGGTTCCTGGTTCTAACAGTGTTTCTGATGGATACTAGTTCTTTTTGTCTGAGGGACTCTTGGTTCTCTGTCTCTGAGAATTCTTGGCCCTGGGTCTCTGAGAACTTTTTGTTTCCACTGAGGGTTCCGGGTTCTAGTTGTGGCTCTGAGGGCTTCTGACTTTGATTATGTCTCCTGGAGGCCTCGTTTGGACTATATCCTGAGGGATTCTGAGTCTGGCTGAATGTCTAAGGTGTTTCTAATTCAGACTTTATCCATGAGGATTCCTGATCTGGGCCTGTGAACCTTATGAACTCTTGATTTGACCATTTTCCCAAGAATTTATAGTTCTGGTTTTGCTTCTGAGGGGTTCCTTGTATCTACTATGTCTTGAGTGCCTCCTGACTCTAAATTGATTCTGGAACTGGCTTAGTTCCCAAGAGCTTCCTGGCTCTACCTGAATGTCTGGGCTGGGACTGTTCCCTCAAGAGTCCTCTGAATTCTTCTATATCTTTGTGGGCTTCTGGCTCCAGCTATTTCTCTGAGGTTCATAGATGCTACTTAAGAGTTTGCTGACTGGGACTCTGCTTGGTAGGGTTCTTTGGAACCCACTGTATCCCTGAGGTCACTTGGCTTCTACTGCCTTTCCGATAAGGGGCTACTGACTGGAACTGTTTGTTGGACTATATACCTAAGATGTTCCTAGCTCTTAATATGACACAAGAAATTAAAAGAACTCAGTGTTTATAAGTCACATTATTTATATTATGTTATTTTTTCATTCAAGTAATTGTTTGCTATACATTGTTTTATCTTATGTACACAAAGGAATAGAGGCTCCATATTTTAAAACTTTGTGTCCAAAGTCATCGAATTTGCCAGTGGCACAGTCAGAATTTGTACCCATGTTTCTGACTTTAATGCCCTTGATCTTTAATCATAGCATACTGTCAGGAAGTTGTACCACAAGGTATGGATGTGTACGGATCATAAATACGCAGTGAACTGAGGGAGCAAGAAGGTGCTGGAGATGTGTGTGTGTGTGTGTGTGTGTGTGTGTGTGTGTGTGTGTTTTGTATATGTCTAAGTGGCTCAGTTCAGCTAGTGCTGTTTTCTGCTTCCCTAGTGTTGCACATGTACAAAATCTCACAAAAGCAGATGCAAAATTCGCATTATACTCAAATTGCTCCTTCATTTATCAGTCAGATTGGAACACATTTACATTTCCAAAACAAGCATTGTAGCAGACTTGATTGTAACCATTCTTAATAGTCTTAGTAGTGTATCTTGGTAGTACGTAACCCAAGGATAGCAAGCATTTCCCTTTTATGGAAACATTCCTTTGAAGGGTATTGAACCACGATGATGAACAGAGATGTCGTTTTTTTGATTATTTCTAAAATGAGCCTTTGGTAAAATTTCTCATTGAAACCTGATTATGAGACTTACTACTTTAAAAAGATATAAGGATATGTTATTAAATCGGGTAATACCTTATCTCAGCTTTGCAATGCAATATTCATCCGTAAAAATAATTGATTTGATCCTGCTGATGAAGCTTCTTTTTTTCCACAGGGTAAATGGAAGGGTTTCCAGGGTTTTTTGATCTTTGTAAATGATATTCAAAGTACTTTAGCAACCCCCACGGACTTATTTGCTGATGATCATATAATACAGTTTGAAATTCAATCGTAAGATGATCATCTCAATAAAAATTTACAATCTATTGCAAACTGTTGCCACGACTGTATAATGGATTTTTCATGTTGAAAACACAATAGTCTGACTATTGCTATAAAAATTATGAGTTGAAATGCTGTTTGTGGGATTATATTTCAAAAATGTTGGTGTTTAAGTAAGTTACAGCTAAAATCTTGAATAACCCACATTTTACAAAATGTGCCATCAAGAAGACAATTTTCTTTCCTGCATTGCCACTGATAGTAGAATGTCCTTTTTTCTTCTGGGCCTGGTAATTAATTTTGAAGAGAATTCCCAGGCTTATATCCATTTGTGGATGTTTACTAGATTTGGTAATCTGAGTCCCCCACTCCTGCTTCCCTCTTCTATTATTAATTACACTAGAAACATACTCATTATTTTACAAAACAGAACATAAGAGAGAGTGGTATGTGGAAGGTATAATTTCTGCCCAGAGGAATTTATAAACTGGGTTAAGTTTCTAACAAAATAGCAAAATGGGTTAAATATAAACACAAAATTGAATACTCACATAGCACACATTGTGGAGGAAAATGGGATTGATAGGGAAAG